AACTGGCATTGTCCATTTGGAGAATCTTCTGCTTGTTATTTTTGCACCCTCTCCATTAACTATAGTACTAGATCCTTTTGAAAAGAAATCCATTTAGGCTAGAGAGAAAATTATTGAATTGCTTTGCCTGACATTCAATGACACTTGTGCCTATCTGTCACTGGAGCATTCCTTCTGAAGATTAAGGCAAGTAAAAAGACTTTGGGCGAGTCAAGTTGTGACAGTATTGGACCGTGGTAATGTTACAATAGCTCACTTTTATAGACTCACCCGATTAATTTCCTTTTTATTTATTTGGACCCAGAGTTGGCAAATTAGATTTGCCAAAATTAAATTCTTTAACAGCTTCCTTCTACTTGAAGTTTGAAGATAATAGGTGACGAAGAGAAAAATGCAATGCAGAGGAAACATTTAAGAAGGACTCTGTGTTCTAAAGCCTCCTCTCATACCTGGAAGCAGCAGGCTAAATAGAATAGAGGTCTCTGAGATGGTAGGCCAAGAAAATCTACATTTAACTGACTGGCACGATTTAACAGGATTAATTCTAGTCTAGTGCCTTTTACATTTTAATGTGTACGTGAGTCACGTAAGGATCTGCTCAAGCACAGATCCTAATCCTTAGGTCCTTACAGGGCTTTGGGAACTTCCACTTCTGGCAGGCTCTCTGCTAACGTACTGCTGGTTTACAGACCACGTTTTGAGTGACCAGGCGCTAGTGGATGGCTTCTTGCTTGTCTAGTCAGTGGTTCACTGTGTGTTTAATGTAATCTTTAGGAAGTCTAGAACGCATAGTCTTTTGATCCTGATGAACAAGGTCTTGGGAAGAGCAGACAGGAAAGGCAATGAGCTCATGATCCAAAAGCAGCTGCGGCAGGGCACTGCCAGCAGCCCTAGCTTCCTGTGTGCTGTTCTGCACTTTCTAGGCTGCACTTTCTCGAATGTGGATGAGAATATAATGGACTTGAATATATTTAATAAGCACGTATAGTAAGTCGTTCACAATAATTCTGTGTACACCATTGTGTGGTTCCTGAAGGTTCAGGAAGATAAGTGGTATGTGTACCGTCCTCCACTATTAGAGGGTAGTCGTGGATTAGAATTACAGTCCATTAGCATGTGGAGTGGCTTTGCCAAGGTCTCCTGGTGTACTGTTTTGATCACTGTATGACCTTGGTTCTTCCCTCCTAACAGTGTCATGCTATTTTGTGGAAGTGGATCATTAACCCAATGCAGAGAGACATCAGTGTAAATTTTGATGCCAGGAGTATGAGAATTACAGTATTTATAAGCAAGAGCAACAGCTTGTATGTGCATGTGCACCCGTGTGTGTGTGTGTGTGTGTGTGTGTGTGTGTATGTGTAGGAGGATGGTGGGGTGTGCATGTGTATCTGTGAGGACCTGAAAACACTGAGTCCTGCAGTCTTCTGGGACTGTTTAGGAAGCCTGGAGAAAACAAATTTTAAATGACATAGAATGAGGCAATCATGGTCAAAATCAAGGCTATCGTATGTGGCCATGGAAACTAACAGGCTGTGAATAAAAGGAATAAAAATAGAATTCTAGTGCTTTGCTATTGATTGAGCAGAAAGGTTATATGTAGATGGGGGGTGTTTAAGGATGATGTCACGTTTCTAAGTTCTCTCTCTCTGGTGCAGAGACAGTTAAACTCAGGTGCTTGATGGTACGGTCAGGTGAGGACTTAAACTTTGACCTCACACGTTAACTCCTTTGACCCTCCTCCAGCTCATAGGAAATGAGGAGAGAATCTGTGTTGCCCGTACCTTGACCCCAACTAGAGGACATGGAATGTGCATCTGAGAAGAATGATGGCGGCGTAATTTGCAGCAGGCCCTCGGGGCTTTGCGTCTCTCCTGGGGAGAGAGGTGCAGTGGCAAGAGCGTGCTGCAGCAGCTGCCTTGCACACGGCTTTCTGTGCCCTGGTCTGTAGAGGGTACGCGAGGCCACGGAGTGCTGGCGTTGGGCTTCTAACTCGGAGGATTCAGAGAGCCAGTGGGGTTCAGCGTTAGGTTAAGAGTTATATAAAACAAGTGTTTTGCAAATTTTTACAGGTAAGTCCTGTGGGGATTTGACTATCCCTGTCAGATATGAAAGTTACATTTTTTAAATATAGTTCTTGCTTTATCTTGGTCTTAACCATCCAACAGAAAAATACAAAAACGAGGTATTAAAAGTAAAATTTAATTAATATGCTGAGCTTAAAAGGCTCAAGTCAACAACTTCTGACGTTGCCAGTCCTGAAGATAACCCACTACTGTTATGGACTACTGGACTATATTGGATTACTTGGCTGAACTCATGCACCTGCAATATATGAATGGCAATGGAATACACATCTCTGACAAAAGTAAACAAGAAGGGGATATAAATGACCAATGTGTATGTACAAAATAGTTAGCATAGATATACAGCTACTTCTCTTGGTTCAGTGAGAAGGAAGTTGTGAACTAATAGTGTTTGGACAGGCTGTCATGTCTGCATCTTACACTACAAATAACTACGAAGACAACAATATGCAATGTACTAATTATTGAAACTGTCCCAGCCTGTTTTGAAACTGTCTCATTGCTACTTCTTTCTCAATAAAACCATTTTAAAAAAGACAAAAATAAGTATTTTGTTCAAATTAAAAAAAAAGTTACAGGGAGAGAGGTGGGAACAGTGCCAGAGACAAAATGCATCCAGTCCTTTTTTGCCTCGAGGTGGCTTCCGTGACTTTGAAATCCTCACTCCTGCATTGGAGAGTTAAGGGGTAGACACAAGCCCCCAAGCACGGATATGTGCAGTTTAATAATAAGGCAACCATGTGAAGACTGAGTAAGCGTGGGAGGAGGAGGAGGAGGACGTGAAGATTTCGGGCAACCGAGTCTGGGGCACAGATGCCTAAGGAAAATGCACAGAGAGAATCTGGTATAGTAGAGAAAGTAGTGTAAAACTGTCTAGCAGTCAGACACTATGAAGTCTAGGAAACTTACAGCAACTAAGGAGCAAAAGGCTGGCAGAAAACAAATACGGAGCATCATAACTGATCCGGGTACTGACTGTGCTGGGTAGCTAGCCAGCCGAAGAATCGTGCTGTGGGTCTCCTCTGCGTGGGTGATCACGAGATGTGATCTCAGTGACAGGCTGAGCTGGTGTAACTGGAGAGGTGCCTGCTGACGCCACCAGGCCAGGAGCCTCACTCTCAGCAGTGAGACGCTGTTCCTATTCTGTCGCTGTCCATGGTGGCAGTCAGAGCTCTTCTTTCTTATCCACAATTCCATCCTTCAGTAATAGATAATGGTGCTTTCTGCCACTTGGCCTAGCCCCTAGAATTCTGTGTTGGCTTTAGTATTCTGCAGGTCCTAAGCATGAGATTGTATCGCTTATCTGTGTTGATTTCACAAAGAAGTAGAAGAAGACGGAGAAGTAGGAGCAGAAGGAAGAATTAGCAGAGAATAAAAGTGAAAAGAGACAGAAAATCTCACAATTTAGGATTGTGGCCAAAATGTCAACTCTTTCCCTTATTCTGGGTGGCCTTAGAAATCAGCAACTGCCCAGGTTTTCTTGTGCAGCCTTTACTGGAGGGATCTTTTGTCTCTGTCTCTCTGTGTCTGTCTCAGTCTCTGTCTCTTTATCTGTCTGACCGGTGACCTCATGTTGCAGTCTCTGTCTCTGTCTCTGTCTAAGTCTCAGTCTCTGTCTGTCTGTCTGTCTGTCTGACCGGTGACCTCATGCTTCACTGGCTATTACTAGCTCACTTTTTTCCTCTTGAGAGAAGTCAAAGTTTCTCAAGTAGGTGATATTTCTCAAAGCCTGAGGAAGAAAGAGGCTTTTCTCAATTTTCCCTGTTGGCATATACATAAAAGACAACTGAGAAAATAGCAACTGAAAATAGTATTGTGGAGCAGTGTTTATTCAAGACTGAAAATGTCCAGTGCTTTATAGTGTGGGAGATAAGTGGAGTTTCCGAAGATACAACTTGTGAATGTGAGGATTGACTGAGAAGAGCTGATTTACTGTTTGTCCACGGGAAATGGGGTTGAGAAGAAGGGGTGCAGCGAGGTGTTTAGACGGAAGGCATTGCAGCTTTGTACTGAATGGGGGGCTGGAGATTTATGGAGATGCACCAGCCATTCTGGGGCATTGTGCAGCGCTACAGGACTTGGGAGTTTGTGAAGAGGCATCATTCCGAAATTGCCCCAATCTAGCGCTCTTTCTCTGTTTTTGTCAAAATAGTCCTGGGCAAAGTTTATGAATTGAATGACTGATGTATTACCTAGAACTCTTTTATTTTATTTAATTTTTATTTTTCAGGACCGGGGATTGAACTCAGGACCTTGCACTTGCCAGGCAAGTGCTTATACTACTGAGCTATCTCCCCGGCCTTCCTAGAACTCTTGATTGCCTTCCAAATTATGGAAGTAAGCATTAGTTAGAAAAACAGGAGTATCTAGTGTATAAAAAAAGAAAGCTCTAGGGAACTTCAGGACAGGGAAACCGCAGTTCTGTCTCTTTCGGGGCTACTTCTCCACGACTTTCTGACCTTCATGGCCTCCATAGACCTGCACTGTGAGTTGAGTTAAGGGTCTCACAGCAGCCGTGGGCTGTACGCGTCAGTCTCCCACAGTAACGCTGGAGTCTCATTGGGGGAGAGTCTACTTGCTGCTCACGTGGCTCCACACTGTGTAGTTTGGACCTGATACTTACTTTGTGGTGCTGGCAGTGGAACCCCACCCGGTGGTACTCTTTCTGACCTGGCATCATAAAGCAACTAATTGATAATTATGTATTAACTTCACCCTGGAGTTGTATTAAAATCACTTGACTTCCAGACTATTTTTAAGCATTTGCAAAATATTTTTAAACTTTTAAAATTATGGGGGTTTTTTGTGTGTGTGTGTGTTTGAACACTTGGATAACTTAAGAATGTTCATATTTATTCATTTTAATAATATTTTTGTGTCTCTGTTTTTTTTAAAACAAACTTGGAATGCATGAAGACTAAGCCTGGAGTAATCCGCCCAGTACCTATGAAGTCCAGAATATTACTGAAGAAAGAAGAAGAAGTCTACGAGCCTAACCCTTTCAGTAAATATCTGGATGATAACAGTGGCCTCTTCTCGGTACAGGTGAGCAAAAACTTGCTGTTTTGAAAAATGACTACATGAAATGTAGATGTCTCTATATACTCTTTACAAGAAAGTGTGTATTGATTCAGATATCATTAGTAATAAAAAGATTGTTTTTACATAAGAAATAAAAATTCTTATACAATTCCAGGATGATTTTTTTAAGAATCTTTTTTTTTTTTTTGTATGTTAGGGAAGGGTCTTATGGTGTTCAGGGTCTCACTACTAGGTCAGATGCATAGTGATCGCCTATTTATAGCCTCCCAAGAGCTGGGATTACAGATGTGTGCCACCACACCCAGTCTCAAGTGCTGAGCTTCCGGCTACCCTGCGCCAGCGGGACCTACTGGTTCCAGCCCAGGCGCAGCGAGGGTGAGACCCTCTTCCACCCCCTTGGGACACCCCACCACCACTCCGCAGCACCTCCCCTACCACACTCGCTGATTAGGAATCTCTGCCGCGTTCCGGGAACCCTCAGACCCAGTCCTAGCCCAGGCCTGGTGAGTGTGTGGGAGACCTTCCGGCTACCCTGTGCTGGCATGACCTACTGGTCCCAGCCCAGGTGCAGTGTGGCTAGCACCCTCTTTCACCCTCTTGGGACGCCCCCTGTCACTCCGTAATACCCCCCTACACACACACCCTGCCCACAGAGTAGGAATTTCTGTCGCATTCTGGGAACCCCCAGATCCAGTCCTAGTCCAGGCCCAGTGAGTGTGTGGGAGAGATGCCTCTCCCCCCTACTCCACCTTGTCCCCTCCAGACTGAGCTCAGGCCTGGCATACAGGCCTGGGGTGAAACCCTTCAGCTGCAATCCCTGCAGAGAGTGTAGGGGACAGAACCACCCAGCTAGTCCAGGAGCAGAACATCTTGCCAGAGGGGCACGACGGGTTCACCCCCAAGGGCAGCAGCAGGAAGGAACTGAGCACAATAGCCAGAAACCAAGCCAGGCACAGCTGGATAAATCCAAACTTTGTAGATCTGCACCTGAACTTCAGTAGGTGCTAAGATTATAACTGCACCAAAGCTCTACCACAGAGGTCAGAAGGCAGTGCTACACAAAATGACAACGAGAAGGAGCAAAATGCAATCTCAGAACCCAAGCCCACCCATAACAAGTGCAGAGGACACTAACACAGAACAAATTGGGAATCACACAGCTGAAAGCAATGAATCAACAGCTTCTGAAATAAAGAAACAGCTGCAGAAAGGTATAGAGGACCTCAGATTGGAAATGAAAAAAGAAATCCCTGAATTAATAACATCTGCAGTAAAGAATCAAATGCAGAAACATATGGAGGAAACCCAGTCTCAAGTGCTGTCTCAGCCCACCTTGGGGGTGAGGCCAGCAGCGCAGGCCTGGGGATCGAACCCCCAGCTCCGGCCCCTGTGCAAGAATCTTAATTTTTTCTGAAAAATGTCTACCTAACATAGAATTGTTTGGGGGACTGACATTAGTCTTTATGCTTAATCTCTTATTGAATCACAAGTTGCAGAGGTCACTAAGTACCAGTCTTCATTTCTAAAATGCTGCTTTGTGGTACTTAGTGACCTGTGCCACACTGCCTTGGAGCCAGCTGAGTATGGACTGAAACCTCCAGTAACTGTAAGCTAAATAAACCTTTCCTTAAAAAAAATAATAATACAATGATGCTTTTATGGCGAAACATGCAGTGCTTTCGCTTTGGTGGATTAGAATTGACAGAGGTGCTGTTGTTTAGAGTTGTGTCAGCAGCACAGTTGCCTGGGGTGAGCAGGACCAGTTCTGGGGTCCGGGCTGGGGGCACGTGGGCACTTTCTCATCGTTTTCTGTGTGTAGGAAAATGCAGGCTGTGTTCCCTTGTGAGTACTGTATGTTGGGCTTTCAGGAGATCTGGAAAAATACAACATGTATGCAATCCAAAATTTCATAAGTTATATCAAAATGAAATTTTATAGCTTTAATTTGGTAAAATACAATAAATAGGAATGGTCCTATAATTTATATCTCAAGCATTATCAAGCCATGTAGGCTCTATAAGGTAGAATGATGCACGATACTCAGATGGGCAAGATGAGGTATCCAGAGACATGCACTGATGAAACCAGGTTCTGCACCGTGACCATGTCCTAACATGCCACAGGACAGATTCGTGGATGACAGGGAAGATGATGCGTTCTTTCCACAGTTTTAGTTGTAACTAACCGCGTTCTGGAAAATAGCATTTACATTCCTATTGCTGCGGTGTGTGTACTGTTTCATCTGCCGCGTCTGAATCCTGGCAGGTTGCTTCATCTTTGGGCTTCAGTTCCTTCATGTATAAAATGAAGCGTCCAGATTAGAAACTACTTAAACTGTGCAATTTGAATTGCCTTTTAATTAACTTAGATGGATCTGAAATCCCTCGTATTCTATAAGAAGTTCAGTGTAAACATGTTCTCTTAAGTTGCTATTAGTCTGTTTATGAAGTGGAGATGAGGTGACTGCCGCGGTGCACACCTCGGGTGCAGGCGCTCAGCAAGCTGAGGCAGGAGGATCGCTGGAATTCACACGTTGAAAACCAGCCTGGGCAACAGCCTGAGCCTGCCTCTAACTCCGCCAGTCAGTAGATTGAGAGGAAGATGAAAATATTTTTTGCTTTTACACATTTTTATGGGATTACTGTGATTTTTTGTCTTAGATTTTAAGAACACACTTAGATGTGACAAAGCATAGTCCTCAAATCAGAGACATTTCACCAGTATATAAATTATCTTTGTCAATTTGCAAATACCAAATAAAAATTCCTATTAGTACAGCATATTTAATCATTAGTAAAACATTTAGGAAATATCTATTGCTTGCATGGGCACTGATATTTCAGAAGCTTAGTGTGAAATTTTAGACAACGGGATCACTTTTAAAAGCTTGTAAAAATAACCCAGTATTTATTTGAGAAACAGACTGCCAAAAGTTAAAATAAATTTATTTTTTCATCTTTATTTATAAAGATTAAATAAATATTAAAGATCTTTATTTAAAGATGCCCCCCATGCCTGGTTTCAGTGGCTGGCTCAGCGTGGGGCCACCAAGGCACCAGGGACTGGATTTAGGTCCTCGTGCTTGCCAGACAGGCACTTGGACGGCCCAGCTATCTCTAGTCCAAAATAAATTTCATATAATATCCATGTAACTTATATTCCTTATATAAAATATTTTCTAAATCATAATAATTTAATTCTCTTGTATATTTTAAAATTTGTGATATTTATTTCAAGGAAATATTCTTCTAAATATTAAGTTAATATACCTTAATTTATCATCATTTATTCTCTTGTGGAATGATGAATTCCATTTTCAAGTGCAGGAAATTCTTGTCATTAAAAGTAATTGCTGTTTCTTTTTATTGTATTTCCTGATTATACAGATTTAAAGCTCTGTTTATGTTACAACACACCTCAATTTATTTAAAGGTAATTTTTGAAGATGTCACTGTTCTGCTAATATTATTGTAGAAGACCATAAACATACTCTTACTAATATTTACTTTCAACCAACACACTTGTTGGTAGCCTCACCTGAGTGGTTTGTATAAGAAGACTGTAGACAGCAGAATTGCAAGAAGTCCAGCATGTGACGTGGAAGTGGACTGCAGAGGCCCAAATGCTACTTACTGACTGAGTAGAGGGACATCGTGGAGGTTCCCTGCCCAGCGCCCAGCCAGCCGTGTATACCGCCGTCTCAAGGGTCTTTCTTACACTGAATCCTCATTGCCATTTAATTGTTTCCAGAGGCTGTAATGGAAGCAGATATCAAAGACAGCTCCCAAGGAGGGGTACTGATTTGTACTTCACGATGCAAGCTAAATAATCACGACTTATAAGCTCAGTGTTGCTGCTTCCTCAGGACTTCCATCCAGAGAGCGTATCTGATTCAGTGCTAGTTACTGCTGTGTGCTCAGCACACTCCTGCCACAGAGCAAATCCAATGGCTCCAGCCTCGGGTGCCGCCCCCCACGCACCACGAAGCCCTGCAGCCGGGCGGGCGGCCAGCTGCAGCAGCTTCTGCCTGCTGGGCGGCCTAGCCTGGTGTGTCCGCAGGACAGCAGCTGCTGGGTGGGGCTGCTCGTGTGTTTCCCTCGCAGATTCCTGCCCCAAGTGGGATTTCAAAGTGTCAGCGCTAGAGATGGTGAGACGAGACAGGCCTATCTGTCGTAGCTCCGAAAGGGACAGCGGGGCAGCCTAGGAATCATTACAGCCCGGACATCTGCCTGGGAACAGCCTCTCGGCACTGGAGGTGGGGTTTGAAGCGAGTACGTAATCAAGTAATTGAGACTTACTTTGCTTTTTAACAAGTTCTACGTTAAAATGGCATCGGACAGGAAGTATTGTTCTATAGCAGGTGCTTTTTTTTAAACAGGAACTCTTCTGAATGAAGCTATGTTTTTCTAAAATTATCTTCAAGCCATTATTGTATTAATTTACAGTCCTTTTGAGTTACTACAAAACATTTTCATACCCTACCCCAAATGTACAGATTTTGAAAATGATGCGCTTTAAAATATGTTTTGATTCATATTTAAGGGCAAAGTTGGAAAATAACAGAATTATTTGGACAAATGGGTGCCCATTCAGAATACACAGAGCCTTTGGAAAATCATTTCCCAGATGAAAATGAAAATACGGATGAGCAGGAGTATTTTTAGTTTACTCACGAGGCATAAGATAATTACTTTCTGACTGGCTGGTGTTTTTAATTAGATAAAGGTGATTTTTTTCACTGATGATTTGCCTTATAAGGAAAGCAATTATGCCAAATATTTCAATTTATGAAATAAAATATTTCAAAATCTTTCAAATTATGTAAAATACTCATTGTAAATTCATAATTCAACTAACCATGATATATATCTCATTACCTTGTTATAGTCTTTGTGCACTGCACAAAAAGGAATTTTCATAGAACTGAAGCAGCAGGCCAGGCGTGATGGTGCACACTTGTGGCCCCAGCACGCCGAAGGCTGAGCAGGAGGGTGGCTGTGAGT